AACTTTTAGAACCTTTAGAACTTTTAGAACTTTTAGAACTTCTAGAACTTTTAGAACTTTTAGAACTTTGAGAGCTTTTAGCACTTTTAGAACTTTTAGAACTTTTAGAACTTCTAGAACTTCTAGAACTTTTAGAATTTTTAGAACTTTTAGAACTTTTAGAATTCTTAGAACTTTTAGAATTCTCCGAACTTTTAGGACTCGTAGAACTTTTAGGACTCGTAGAACTTTTAGAACTTTTAGAACTTCCAGAACTTTTAGAACTTTTAGAACTTGTAGAACTTTTAGAACTTTTAGAACTTCTAGAACTTTCAAAACTTTTAGAACTTTTAGGAGCTTTTAGAACTTTTACAACTTTTACAACTTTTAGAACTTTTAGAACTTGTAGAACTTCTAGAGCTTGTATAACTTGTGGAACTTTTGGAACTACTTCTGGACATGTTGAAGTTGTACAACTTTGACAGCATGAACAACTTGTTGAGGCTCTGAAACGCCCACGCGCCCGACATGCAGCGGGCGCTTGTCCACGCGCCCCAAATGCATCCAACCCCTTCTTTCCACAGGGCTTAGGGGAGTGTCGAGGTCCCCGGGCCTGTTGGCCCCCCACATGCTATGGGGCTTTGAAGGGACGTGAAAACTCACAGGGTTGACATCGGGATTTCGGCTCCTCTCTCTGCTTCCCTCTCTCCATCTCTCTCTCTCTCTCCCTCTCTCTCTGCGTATCTTTTCTCTGGCGCTCTATCTCTCTCTCATTCTCTCTCCCGGCACTCTACTCCCAAGCCTGAAACCAGCAAAACCTGTTCCCTTTCATCTCTACACCGAGCCTTTCCAACATACTCCAGAGTCCTCCATATACACCTATCTCAACCATTAAAAAGAGAACCCTAAGCCACTGTTAAACCCGAATACTCAGCCCTATAGAGAAACTTTAAGGGAACAGTATTCTATACTAGCATCTCGGGATTTTTTGACACTCGCTCTCTGACAACACCGGGCAAGGTCTGCAGAGATACTGGTCTTCGATTACGAGGTTCCTGAGTGACCCCTAAATAATAATGAGTGACCCCTAAATATTAAGGGCACCCTTTTTCCTGTTATTCACAATTGTAATACGGGAACCATACAATAAAAAGGGCCAAGGGTTTCAGGTTTAAGGATTGGGGGAGGTTGGGGTCTCATGATCTGAGGGTTTAGGAGCTGAGGCATTCAGGATGTCCCCACTCGCGGACAGACCGGAAAGTCTGGAGAAACCCTGAAACCCGAGGACTTCTGCATGACGTCTGGTGGAAATCTGCAAGCTGCTATATTCCAGAAAGGGAGTTTAGGGTTTAGGGTTTAGGGTTTAGGGTAGGTCCATGCCGAGTCATGATTTTATATTGACAGTCAGACCATGAGTCCATATACCTGGGGAAGTATAAGAGCAAAACTTCTGAACATGGCCATGCTGCTAGAAAGGCCAAGTCTGGCTTCAAATCAAAGCACCCAAGCTCATCGATCCGGACCTGCAGGGTAGGGGTTAGGGTTTAGCGGTTTAGGGTATGAGTCGGGTATGGGGTTGTGTCGTCTAGGGTTTTCGGCGGCAAGGCTTCACGACTATCGTAAACCCCAAAAAGTTGGAAACCGGGTTAAGGTCAAATAGTGCTGGGGTTCCCTTTACATTACTCTTAAGGATTGAGGCTATTGGGTTTCCAACTTTTGCGCTTCTACTGTAGTAGGTCAAGCAACTACACTCTCTCGTGCTGCAACTTTTCATACCACAGGTTCAAAGTATCTAGCCCACCAGCCGCCAAACCAACCAATAGCAAGCATCAAGTCTAGGAGCCCGGCACTACTCGCCATGACTACCTCGAAGATTATTGGCATGGAGTACTTGAGCTACAGGTATTGCATGAAAGGCCACGAGTAGCCCCATGCCATGCTCTGATTACATCACGACATGAAATCTAGACTGCATTCAGACACGTAGGCCTGAAGACAGCGAAGTACCACCCCCTCATATCGCCCATGGCAAACCCTGGTCAAAAACATCCAATTACCATGCCCATTTCGGGCCACATGCCTCCGTACGTAACGCCTGCGTAGTTTCATGTAGCAGTCATACAGCGCACGCGCCACAGAGGCGTGCACTATACTACACACGCTAGGTCCGGACGCATTTGCTGCAGGAGGTATTGTGCCAAATTCTGGCCAGAACGAAACATCACGACTTCCAATCTGTTTCAATCTCTTTGCATGTTGTAGTTTAGAGTCACCCGCATGAGCACAAACCGGTTGAATCAGTCCATACATCAGCCACAGTCCTACGATTCTTTTCGAGCGAAGTCGGATCGCTCTTTCGAGCTGCCGCCGGTTAATGACGCACGTGCCGAAGTTCCAGCATACGCCAGTTAGGATCACAATCCATTAAGCTGCTTTGTTCAAGTTGAGATCCCACGTGCCAGGATATTGGCGACTCTGCATCTCGCTCGCTCTGTGATGCAGTCCATGACCGTGTTCAGCCCAGTCCCTCGCTGGAATTACAAATCTCCATGTGTCATCTCAGACAAAGTGGACAAGCAAGAGGGGCCGTTCCCCGGACTGCAAGTTTCCATCTCCACCGTCCATGCTGGATCCCTCCGGCGCCTCCTGTTTTGCACCTGCTCAACAAGCGATCTTATCAGCAGCACCATCAGGGTCATCGTGCCGATCACCAGCACGATGCACAAGGATAGCAAATATCTCAACGTCAAGGCTTCGTTCTTGTCCCACTCCTGGGTCACCGCCAAGCTGGCTAGCAGCAGCGCCGTGACACTAGCCGCAAGGGCGGAGCCCTCGATGCGGTTCAGGTAGGCGTCCTCGTAGGGCCACACGACGACGTGCAGCAAGAGGCTGCTTGCCAGGACAGCCAGCGTGAGGGTGAGGTTGGTCGAGGCAGCATAGCTTGGGGGGGAGAAGACCCTCACTTGGAGCAACAACACCTTCCGAAGCAACGGAACCAGCTCCCACCACTCTACTCCAGGTCTGTAGTGTGATACCAGGAAGCCCATTATCTTTCTTCGCGATGCAGAGTGCCAGTCGCGCGACCTCCGAATCATTTCCAGCCAATACACGGGCACGATCAGGATGCAGGCAAAGATGCCAACTCCAGCAATCGCTTGCGCATGTAAGGGGCGGCACTCCTCCCAAACGAGGAAAGAGTTGCGCTGCAGCGGCTTGGTGCCGCGGAGACCTTTGCTCATCTGGAAGCATGAGAGTGGCTTCGCGAAGCCGGCACAAACGTTGGCCATGTAGGCATTGCCGAGAACGAGGGTGCCTTGTATCATGACAACCTCTCGATGGCGAAAGCCACAGTGGCTTGCGACCCAAGTCCAGATCCAGCAAGACAGCAGCAGCAGGAGAGGCGGGGACACTTCGATTGTGACCAAGCCGCAAAAGCCCATCTTGTCTAAGAGCCGCACGTTGAAAAGACACTCGTAGCTCTGACTGTACAAACTTGTCGACGAAATCACGGTCTCTGTGAGGCCGACATAGCTTCGTAGGGATACCTTCGCTGTGTGGTACTCCTCGAGACGCGAGACGGCTTGGAGGATGCAGTTGCAGGCCTTAGTGGACTAAGTAACTTCTTGTTACCTTCATTGCCATCCCTACAAAATCTAACAGTTAACTGTTCACCTTTATACCCCCCAGCTACGAAACTGGACATGAAAGAGGCCGTCCCAAAGGAGACCATGATCTTGAAGATCACACTCGTCCGCCGTCGAGCTCTTTGAGCAGACATCATTCCGACGCCGAAGAGACCGACATGCTTCAAGGCCAGCAGCATCCACTGAAATGCTTTGGGCGGGCACTGCTGACAAACAAATGGGTCGCTAATCTTCCGGCCGTAGCCACTAGCACAAGTCACGCAGCCAGCAATACCTTCTGCATAGCCCGCAGAGCACTGGTCCGCCAGTCCGTGCCATCCGAGAATGTGATTCTGCCCAGGGCAGGCGGATGGGTTCGGACAGCGCCAAGCACGCAATTGCTGTCGCTCATGATATTCCGGCCCATAATGCAAAGTTACCATGACACCACGCGGTACCTCAATTTTGCCCCTCCCACATGCAATCAGGGCGTCGACAGACTCCGCAAGACTGGTGCAGTCGACGCAGCTATTCTTCATCCATCTGTCATAATGCCTTGCACCCAAGGCAATAGTGTGGAATGCCAGCGGCATATGGACAAATCCGGGCGACACAGTTCCATATTCACAGGGGGAACAGGTGGCCCGAAAGACTCTCATGTGGCTTCGGACGGTACACGAGTTGCAGAATGCGTCCAGGCAAAGACATGGAAAGGACGTGGTGCATGCTTCGGCAACCATGTACACCGAACGGTTGAGGACATGCCCAGCACCGCCCAAGATCATGCAGCAACCAGCAGGGACAAGTGTTGAGCAGTCCATACTCGACGGTCTCTTCCCTCGACTGGGCACCGTCTTCACTTCCCAGTGGTCTTCGTCAGAGAGGCTGAATTCTGGATAGGACCCAGGGGAGCAGGTCAAGTCCATTGGATTGGCCGATCCGGGCAGCCACACGGCATTAAACGGAAAATGCAACAATATCGAATCCCCACCCAAGTTGGAAGAAATTCTGTGGTGGAGTTGAACATTGTCAAACTGGATTCGCGCCCTGTCCGTCCAGAAGTCCAGGTCTATGCATCGAGTTCCAGTAGGGGGCGTGCAAAGCGCATGAACGCTTTGAAGCCGCACTCTCTGCACACTGCGGGCTTTCAGGAACCTCACCGAATGTTCGAAGCTTGCGCGTTCAATGTTGACATCCACAGCGAAGTCTGCAACGATGGCTCCCACTCGCAGCCACGCAAACATGCACGATTGAATACGCAGAGAGTCACTTCCACTCGCATCGATCCCAAAATGACACAATGACTTCCAAATCCTCGTGTTCACAAGCAGCGCGGGCTGTCGGAACCCGGCTCTCAGCACAGCAGTGTGTCTTGTTCCAGGGCCCTGAACACAGTCGCAGTCCTCGAAGGTCATGGACCAGCCGTTTAGCTCCAAGCCAGCATCAGACCAGATTGCCGCACCCGACCGGGCTTCACAGCTCTGGAAGGTTGCATACTGAGCCGTGACATTCACGCTGTGTTGAGCATAGATGGCTCCACCTCGGCCCAGGTCTGATCTGCAGTTTGTAAAATTCACCTCCTCCCCACGCAACTCCACATTCCAAGCTGCAATAGCACCGCCTCTGTGCATGGCACTGCAGTTCTCGAAATGGAGCCGCCCGGAGACTTGAGTAACTCGCCCGTGATCGAATAATCGAGGATGCACTCCAGGATGCACTGTTCTGAGAGCGCCACCCGTAAAATTGGAATGGCAATTCCGAAAGACCACATCGCCCGAAATAGTCAGTGTTTCCACTGCCACAACGCATGACTCATGCCATGCAAAGCCACCATGGTCGAAAACCAGCGTGCCAGTCAACCAGCCACTTTCCAAGAAACACACCGGAGCAGCAATTATTGTGCCTATACTGAACTTGGTACCCTGGCACAAATCATTTAAGCTGCTTCTTGGCGATTATAGCAACCCATATGAAAACTGATTCCAAGTACTTTAAGATGCCCGGCACGCCGACAAGACGACACTCCCGTACAAATGTGAGACGTTCGTCATATCGACGAGCCTCAAGGCGAAAAACACCGCCGTCGCAAGCACCTTCAGGTTCAGATCGTAAAACGTTTACTTATAACCCCTGTTGAAGGAACCGCCCAAACGTCTGTAGATAACCCTATCGTAACCTTTTTGACTCCCCCTTTACAAGGCTCGTGTTTCAACTCCGGGTCCTTCCGGCTCCAGTTCAAGCTCCGAATCGTTTCTCACTGCATCTGCGTCGGGGATCGACTGGCCAAGCGCAGCGCAGCCCAGCACCGAAAGAAGGCATGTAATAAACATAATGTCGCGGATGACTGCAACAGGCTTAGTCTTAAAATTCAGTAGGGTTGTAGAGCGGCTTTCATAAAGGCCTCCGTCACTGTAATGAGAATTGGGTTTCGGGCATATTGTCATCTTTATGAGGAATTTAGACTTGCAAATTATTCAGGCCCATGCTGCTCGCATGACAGTGACACTGCATGCACCCGCCCTGCAATGACGTGAAACGGAGGGCATTCATGGCCATGGAGTGCCTATTGCAAGAGAACATCCGAAAACTGTTCGGTTCCGAGGTACGAGTTTTCGGACTCAGGGCGTTTCAGGACCTCAGGTTTTAAGTTTAGGGTGCCCGTGGCTCTGTGGGGCCACGATGTAGTCCGAGGCAGCCAGGTTCTTCTGTTTGAGCGTGGTCTAGGCTTGATGCTTGCGGCTTGACATGTTAAAATTTCGGGGTTTAGGGTTTCGGCTCTTCTCGATTTTTACGTTTAGGGTTTAGGGTTGAGGGTAAAGTTTTGAAACATGAGATGTGGCTTGGACACTGCCGCGGTCCGGGGGACAGGGTTGTAGTCCCAAGGCATCCATTGGTCTCGATCAGGCGTGTATACTGTAGGAGCCGTAGTGATCAGAACAGGATTTTGGCCCAAAATAGTAGTGGTAATGTTTTGGGCTCTATATTAGGCAAGGCCCAGAAAGCAAAAGGCTCAGATCTTCCAACATCCCTTAATTAAGGCTTCTACCCTAAAGTATTATAGTAGGAACCCTAAACCCTGAGCCGAAGATCCCTAGTACGATTTGAAGTATAACCCTTGCTTCAAGAATTTTGGAGGAGCTGGGGATTGTCGAACACCAGTGCAATTTCACGCATTACTTCTGCACACTGCAGCCTGGAGCTATATGTGTGTATGTACGTATACATACATACATACATACAATACCTACATACACATACATATACGTAAACATACGCATGTATGTAAGTTTGTATAAAATGAAAGTATATATGTGTATAGAGGGAATAAACTATCTCATGTTCTTACTCATCGCGATCCCGATATGCCACTAGCTCTCCCGGGTTCGATGCGCAGTGAAGCCCTTTCCCTGAAGCCCCCAAACCCTAAACCCGAAGCTACGATGTCACCTCATGGAGCTTCTCGAGCAGCTGGAATGTCCAGTCCTTCTGCTTGTGCTCGAACGGCACGCAGTGAAACCTTCATCATAGGCTTCAGTGACTCGGGGCGACGAGGGGCGATCGACAACGCAGTGACGGAAGCACTCGGAAACCCAGGCCAGCAAAGAGATCAATCAATGCTGCAGGTCTGCCCCCGACAAGCATGAACTCAACTTGTCGAGCTGGCGCTCTGCTGACGAGAAAAAACCATTCATGCAAAGAAAACAACACAGGCCAATAAGGACATAAAGCCGTCAGCTCAGGCATCACCGCCAGCCAGGGCTTGAGACGAAATATGGCCAGCACAATCATCACCACATCGTCGACACACGCTTCATAGGCAAACACTACCAGGTCACTGCCGCAATCACGGTCAGGCTCATCATCGGCAACATCTTCATCCTCATGATCATCAACATGGTCAGCAGGAGCAGCAGGCACACTCCTAGAACCATCCTGCTCGACAGCGCCATCGCCGTCATCATGATGGTGTTCACCAGCGACATCAAAAGCGGCAGGTGCAGCGCAAAGCAGCGGCAGCAGCAGCAGCACCACCACCACCACCACAACCACCGTCATCTCCACCAGCATCGTCAACATCATCATCACCGCCGCCATCAACATTAGAATGAGCATCAGCATCCTGATCCTCTTCCTCAACCGACTTTGCCATGTGTGCCGTCATTGGCATCGTCACTATTACTTTCCAGAAGAAGAAGAGAAGAACAAGAGTTGCCTCCAGCCGTGGGTCATCGCCAGGTTCAGTGACAACGAGAACAGGAACTCGGACTTGCCACTGCCAGGCGTGCCAGTCACCTCTGCGCTTCTGACATCTTCTGACGCTTCCACCAATGCACACAAGGGGACGGCGAACGGGATGTGATCGAGTGGGCCGGTCGCACGGGGTAGCGAACCATGGTCTGCCTGAAGGGTTGCTCATGACCTGAAAGTTTCCGAAAATTAGGGGTACCTTATTTTGGGGTCCTTATAATAAGGATCCTATTATTTAGGGTACTATATTAGGGTCCCCTATTTTCGGAAACCCCCACCTAGACCTACCGGTGTCCATGCGAAGAGGGCGAACATATCATGCACGTACATCGTGACTCAAGGAGCGGTCTGCGCTCGAGAATAACATACTAATATGGTCTAACTGAAAGCGAAATATAATATTGTATAATACCATATACTGTAACTGTAACATACTAGAAGCAAGTACAATAAAATGAAACATACTAAAATATAACATACATACATACATACATACATACATGCATACATACATATATTACATTACATTACATTACATTACATTACATTACATTACATTACATTACACTACATTACATTACATTACATACCAAAACACAACATAACAACCCATAACATAACTTACATTACATAAATACATACATACATACATACATACATACATACATACATACACACATACATACATACATACATGATCACAAAACATACATGCACGAATACAAAGTACACGCATACACACACGCATACATACATACATACATACATACATACATACATGCATACATACATACATTCCTACGTACATACATACATACATACATACATACATACATACATACATACAAACACCTACAAACATACATACAAACATATGTACATACATACGTACGTACATACATACAGACAAACGTACACATACATACATACATACATACATGCATACATATATACATACATACATACGCACATACATACATACATACATACATACATACATACATGCATACACACATACATACATACATACATACATACATACATACATACATAAACGCATGTCTATGCATGAACAAACAAATAAATACACATATATATATATATATACATATGCATATATGCATGTATATATAAATATAATTATAAATATAAAT